TACGAAACTTGTGCAATGTGGTATTAAGCTGTTTAGTTTAAAGAATTCGCTTATTTTTAATGCACGTTAATAAACCCGAACCCGAACACAACCAAAAAGCCATCTCAGGGGAAATTTACACAAAGAAAGAATATATTTACGAAGTTAATTTTATATGAGTAAAACGAAACTATCGGAGAAATGCAACAAAGTATCATGATTCTAGGACAGTTCAAATAGGTAAATCAAAGACCCTCAGGAATGCAAAAAAATCTTTATATGCCTACAGTACACTCCCACCACCTACATAGAAATATGATAGGCAACCATTCTTTGATAATGACAAAATCCAGGTATATTTAGCGTAAGTACGAGTTCTTAGAATTCCCTGAAAAATACAAAGCTAATCAGGAACTATCCGACTTTATCAGTAAACATCACAAGATAAATATGATCGGGAACCTGACCCCTAATTCATTCGTCAAGTCATCGGCCACGATGGTACAGGTGCGCTTAACTGATCTAGTCTACATTGTATACTAACAGTTCTTATGGCACGCATGGTATACTTGTATTATGATTGACACTGTGTAATGATTTCACGAAAAATAGCAACTATTGGGTTTTTAGCTAGCATAAATTCGACCTTCACTGAAGAGGTTCAAGACCACTTGATTAATGTACGATTAGGAAATGAGCGAGCACGCAATCGGCTTTGGCCATTAGCTTAAATGCTTCTGTGGTACGCGACGAATATGCGTACTCTGTAAGCATGGTACCCTCCGCAACACCCCGAAGTTTAGGCCTTAATGCACTAAAGAATGGGGGGGGGGGGGCAGTGCCCTGCAGCGAGTCGGATTTTTGCAGCCTGAGGCCCATATGTGTAGTGACTCAGCAGAAACTGCAATAACAAGCATGTAGCTCACCAGAGCGATAAGCGTAAAGAACTGGCCTGAATATTTAGGTGACGTAGACATACGTTACCATTCTGAAATCGTTAAATTGGCCGTCAATCTTGGTGGACCGACCTTGAGTTATCTCGCGTAGACTCCGCAATGCAGTGCAATGTAATGCAAGCGCCGCGGTTACATACCAGAGGAAAGCCAAATCCGGCGAAAATGGACCAGCTGACGGCGGCGTAAGTTGCTGCTTCGTTGAATTTTGATATTTCTGCTGCATTTGTACCATTGTCGTTACTAAAATCTTAGAAATGGGGCAAAGCCTGCGCGCTGTCAACATCCTACCTGAAATGCGGATAAGAGTCTAATGTAGCCATAGTTACTACTGAACTGAATACAGCTTACTTAGATGAAGTGAATTGAAGTCAGACGAACTATCAATATTCAATTAAGTTTTTTCTTCTATTGAGTGCCTTCAGCAAAATGTTTCCGAAACACTGTAATCACATTACCCGTGAAAAGGCATCACAACCACTTACATGTTATAAATACCCGAGATTTGGACGTTTTGCGACACGCCGTTTCCTTGACCAAACCTGCCGAAATGGTAACGCGTCAAAGTGCTATGGCTTTGCTTAGAAGAATGAATTAAGATGTGTCTATTGTAACCGGTTAAAAAGAGATACAGGTGTCCAAGGCCGCGTCGTTCTCCCTGGAG